CCTGCTCGAGCAGGAGACCCTAGACCAGTGGTTCTCAACCTTCCCAATGCCGCGACCCTTTAACACAGTTCCTCATGTTGTAGTGGTTCTCAACCATAAAATTGGTGTCTCGGTTCCTAAGACCATCGAAAATATGTGTTTTCCAATGGTCTTAGGCAACCCCTGTGAAAGGGTCATTCGATCCCCAAAGGGGTCCCGACCCACAGGTTGAGAACCACTGGGCTAGACCAAAATTGTTGTTAGGTGGGAAGGGGACTGGGCTAAGGAAAAAGTAATGCAGGCTGAATATTCCCCCTTCTGCTGTGGTTCATACTTTTGTGCAAATTTACCTTAAATTCTGAACTCAATAGATCAGTGTTTCTCAACCTTGGTGACTTTAAGTCCTGTGGCTGGCTGGGAAATTCTGGGAGTTGAAGTCCACAGGACTTAAAGTCACCAAGGTTGAGAAACACTGCAATAGATCATGTATTAATTCTAGTCACACCAACCTAAACATTTAATCTTATTATATTCTTAAAATATTTTCTAAAGTAGCTACATGAATCAGTAAACATAACAAAGTACCTCTTCCTTTTTCTTCAGTGTTGCTTCTAATTCTTGTATTGTCTGATTTAATTCTGTTTTATGAGTTTGGACTGCATTTGCTTGACTACTCACACACTCCAGTTCAGTCACCTGTAAAAACAATACATATCATTATTATAATAATAATACAGTTAATTAGAAGAATATATGAAAAATGTCCCCCTTCTGAAATATCTCGATCAAAGCATCAATGCCTATTGGATAAGAGGGGAGGGAAATTACTGTGATATGTGATACGGTATTTATAACAAAATCACTAGACAATACATGACATGGAGGGTCATATTTCAGATACATTTATTACACTTACTAAATTCCTCAAACCTTTCAACAACGGCAAAACTTCTAATGTACTTGAAATGTTCTTTAAAATTCAGGGAGATCATCAGAGATGTATCTGCCTTGAAAGTAGCCCAGGTTGAACTGTATAGTACAGTCAAACATCAGGACCTGACCATAGGAAATGTTTCATGACATTTGGTATTATTCCATGAGAGTCATGGATCCTGGATCCTGGATGCATTCTAAAAGTTAACCAGTTTGAGGTGCAAAAATTTTGCTATTGCTAGGCATACATAAATAGCAATAGGTACATTTTTATTTGTTTTGCCTTTCTTCATCTTGGTTCTTAGAACTACCTAAAACCAAATGGCAATAGCAGCATAATTAAGAAGGCAAAACCCCCAGGCATCTAAATGAACTACTTGCCGTTCCTTACAAGTAAATAGAAAATATTCCCAATAAATATTCTTAGGAAGCCACTACACTTTATCGCAATAGAAAACACTGAAGAAAATAATCCTTTGTTAGAGACAAATTATGTTTCCAATTAAATGAGCAATCTGTGCTTGGATTTCCATTGTTTCTGTTTTAAATAAAATTTGCCACACTCAATTTTTTAATCACAGTAGTGACACCTGGCAGTTATGACTTGTTGCAGTGATCAGGAGCCCTTTTTTAACTGCGTGGCACGACAAAACCGCTCTCGTCAAAATAGCGGTGATAAAATCGCGTCACTAAAGCCACGACATCATCACCGCGCGTCATCACCGCCGCGACAACAGCGCAGCAACAGAAGAGCGCTTTAAAACGGCGCCACGGCAGAAAGCCGATTTAAATTAAGGTAAGG